GTCTTAATAAGGCCTTCTTGATGTAACCATTTCTCTAAACATAGTGCATTCAAGACTAAATTCTAATCCAGATAAAGCCTTGTACTATGTTTATTTTCAGTGAGTGAGTCTTTATTTCTGTATAAAGACAGAAAAAATCCATACATGTCTGTGTGTGGGGTGGGTGGTAGTGTTATTTAAGGGTTCATCCTTAAAACAACAGAATTCTAGAGGCAAGGAGAAAAGAGGCTTCAAATGGCAGTCAGTGAGTAAATGCCTATCTAAAGCACACACCATGTAAGGCTGAGGCTAATGGCAATATTTGCTCTATTAAAAAGCCAACGAAAGACAGCAATGTTTATTTTTAGCTCAATACAGACAGCTGTTATGGTAGAGGACTCAATTCAGTGCTAAATCAGATGTCTAAGAAAATTAAATTTTTAAAAATGTTTTATTCATTATTTTTATTTTATGTGTATGAGTGTATTGCCTGCATGTATGTAAGTGCACCCAAGTTGTGCAATGCCCGTAGAGATCAGAGGAGGCCATCGGATCCCCTGGAACTGGAGTTATGGACAGTTGTTAGCTGCCATGTGGGTGCTGGGATTTGAACCTGGGTCTTCTGCAAGAACAACCAGTGTTCTTAACCGCTGAGCCATCTCTCCAGCCAAGAAGTAAATTTTTCTAGTTGAACTTATTTGTAAAATGATGGAATAGCTTGCCAAATAACTAAACAAAGTCTTATCACCTACTAAACACAGACTATGTAGGTAGAAGGCACCCACATATAAAAGTCAGTTGAACCAGCTTCTGTTAAGGATGGTAGTTATGAACTCAGCTAGCTACATGACACACAGTGCTAAGTATTAAGAGCAATGACAAAGGAATAAAAAGAAAGATTAATCATCAATTCCAAGCTAATGTATAACCATCAGTATGCCAACAAAAGTAGGCTAAAACAGAGCAAGAGTCAGTTCAATAGCTGCTATCATTAACTTCACTATCAAAGAATCATTTATAACTAACTAGAGTTTCCCAGATGTTAAATAGTGAAAGGAAAAAAATACTAAATTTTTAATTCTGTCAATAATCAAATTAATTTTTTTCTGGAATGTCAAATCAAAAATGCCAAATGCCACAAATGCTCAAAGCAAGCATGATGATCTCTCTCCTGCTTTGGGGGGTAGGGTAGAGAAAAATGTTAAGAGAAACAGAAGCAAAATTCAGCTTTTCACACAATGAAATTAGCTTTGTGAAGATCGACATTAGCAAAGGTATTCCTCAGAGACCTGGAGGTAAGTGGTGGTGAGCCACAGGTTTGCCTGGCTGGGAAATATTGACCATGGGTACTCCTGGTGACAGAGCCATGCCTGTCCCCCATATTCTCCACCTCTTGTGTGAATTTAGAAACCCGAATATCCAAAGGTATAGATGAAGTTTTCCAGCCCACAAGGTTTGAATTAAACTGGGCTTCAATGAACATTTCTATATAGTTAATCTGAGCAAAGGCATTTAAAAAAAAATAAACTTCTTTAGTATCTGTTCAATGTGGTCAGCTCTCTTACCTATCAAACTTCAGGATGTCTCACTGTACATGTGACCTTGACAGAATTTGCTCAAGATTAACATGAGAGAAGAAAGAAGTATCTGGTTTGTAGAAACCAATAATCTAGCTTAAGAGACAAGATCAGTGGTATAGGCCTGGGAAGACAGCTACTCTAGAGGCTGAGGTAGGAGGACCACAAGTTCAACGGTAGCCTAGGCAACTTAATAAGATCCTGTCTCAAACAAGAAAGGACATAAAACAGAGCAAGACACAAAGGCTGCAACCTCAAATTGAATGAGTTACTAGTTCAGTGGTAAACCGTTTGCTTGGCATGCTTAGCATTCCCAATACTTACAAAAACAATAAAAATACTGTCCTCTACCTGTATGAAAATGTCATTATTTTACACACTCTATGAAAAACAGAAAAGCCTACAATTATCCAAATTTTAAGAATGAAATACTGAAAGCATTAGATGCACGATTGAAAAACCAAACAAAATATTTCCCTGAGTAAAACAATCCAGAGCCCTAAAGCAATTTGAATCTTAGAATTTTTTGTAAAAGTCTAAATAAATTGTTTCTTATGCATCTTCAATGCTTACTTCAAGTAGCCCTGTTATTAAAGGGGTGAACATCATTTTAGCTTAAATTTGTTTTGAAATTTTTGTCCAAATAATACAGTGAATGCTTCATAGCCCAAAACTGTTCAAAATTTAATGTAGTGATGCCAGTCTCACTTCAGCTACATGTAAACTGAAAAAAGTGATGTTCACACTGCAACTATAGGTCTCTAAAAATTAGTGGTTGGGAAGGGAGGGCAGTCCTGTTCCTTACGGAATTCAGCAAACACCATCAAGTTTCTTTTCTCTCATGTCAAGGGAATGCTTTCCAGCAGTTTTATTCACATTCATTCCCCTGTCTCCCAGTCACACCAAAGCCATTTGATCTCTGTAAGTGCTGTTCTTTTATGTCAAAGGCACTCTCCAACCCTCCTGTGAGAAATGTATTCTAGTCCGTTTATTTTCACACAGTAGGTTTAGCATTAGAACTATAAATCTGATGAGAAGTCCAAAAGATAATGCTATTTGAAATTAACCAAGTCTTTTGGCTAAAAGGAAGTCATCTCTAGGGAAGTTACCCTTCAAGAAAGAGACATTCTGCCCTCTGTTGCCTTTTGAATCTATCCTACACTCACTCAGAACCCCACAAATGCAGTAAAAAGAGCAGAATAATCTGCTTTTAGCATAGCACATCTTTTACATAAACTGAATGATCTTTCCCAACACCAATTAAGAAAAGACTGAGATTGAATGTGAACTCTTCACTAGATGAAGAGTTCAAGGTGAAAAATAATTGTCCAAGTATCACATACTGCTAGTGATCTGCTCTCATATAGAAACATGGTCTTCTTGCTCCCTAACAATACATGAATCCAGTCTCAATCAATGGCATACTTAGGATAATCTTGGAAACAGGGACAGATTGGGTTGTTTAAAATCACAAACTCATTCCTTCACAATGAATTTGCAGTCTTATATATACACAGTTGAGATTCAAAATGCATCTAAATCTGTTTTCTGATAAATTATCTTCATTTGGTTACTGAGTAATTTTCATCAATATTCTCTCAAAAGGTGCTTTTAATAAAGGCTTTTAATAAAGGCTGTGAAAGAACTTCATTGTCAGTCATGTAATTATTACGTGGAGGGAATAACCCGGCAACAACAGGTATTCAGTTTCAAAATGAATCAGCAATGGAGCCAGAGCATCTAAGACTGACTCAGGACTCTGCACTGACATTACAAGAAACAAGGGAAAGCACAATCCTTTCCAAGTTTCACTACACCATCGTACCCGCTTCTCCCAGAACAGTCACTGTCTCGAGGTCACACCAGCTAGATGTGGATTAATATGTCTCCAGAAGTGTACCAAAGACAACACTGGATCTTTACCACTGCTGCTAGGTTTAGTGGCTACTGTTTGCTTCTTCTGTCTTGGAAGCTCTATGCTTCTTTTAATACTTACAAGATCTGCATGGGCACAATATAAATACAGCTGTTTTTTTTTTCCTAAGATTTGTCTGTCTATACAGTTCTCTGGTGTGTGAGAAATGTGGGAGGGAAGGAATTAACTTACTGATGTGCATTCCTTATCAGTACCAGCACTCAGTAGGACTGAACTTTAAGCTATGTAAAGAATACCTCTGAGCCATTTCTTTTCAAAAGGGCATTTTGTGTGTATTACAAAAGCAAAATTCAAAATCCAGTAAGAAAAGCATGACAATAGAAGAAAACAAAAGGTAATTAACTGTATTTTATTGTGCCTCTTTTAAAAAATTCTAATGTACTCTGATACCCTTTGAAATAGTCATTGTAACTATGAAGGCATTTCATAGCAGAATGTGCTGCAATATGCTACTATCATTAAAAACCATATAATCTGGGCAACTCTGTAACACGAAAATGAACTAAGCAGATAGGTTCTTGCTACTTTTCTAAAATGAAAAGGCTGAAATTCTGTCATAGTCACAGAAGTGGAGGTGACAATCATCTTAGAATATTACAACATATTTCCATCCACAGGCACTATACTTATATTTGAACAAATACACACACGGTGAGAATGAACTATTATTTTATGAGACTACAAGGATCTAGAAATCGAAGCCCATTATAACATACTAAAGGTAGTCATTTTAAGCCTACTCTCTTCAACAGAGGAAAGCTCTTCCCAGAGCTTCCCCTTTCTCCTGTTTTTAAAAATGTACAAATGTTACAAACCAGAGAAAAAGGATCAGCAAAGAAGTACGCACACCAAATGTTCCTATCGGAGCCTGAATACAGGTCTTTGTTTCAGTATTCCAACACCACTAAGCAAGGGAAGCTAAGTACCCACCCATTCAAATATATTTTCCCATTATTGTTGGCAAAAGTTACACTTCTGATAGGTATGATCACAACCCACCCTATCTTGACTAGCTTACATTTGCTTCTTTAATCCAGATCTTCGGCCATCCTCGGAACCTGCATTACAATCGCCCTGGATGGCAGGTCCAAAACAGGACAATCTGATGAACCAACGCAAACAGCAGGCACTTAAGAAGAAGGCAAAGTTGCTTTCCTAGTGAAACAGTTCCGAAGTGATTCCATATCAATGACAAAATGTTTGCTTCTCCTCAGCTACTCACCTACCTACCGTCCACCTTTCCTCAATCAGCAGGGTTTCCCTCGATCTTGAAATCTCCCAGACCAGTTTTAATGGTGCAACTCAAGCCAAAACCACTAACCGCGCCCTTTATACTCGGGCCGAGCTACCTTCTGCTTTTTCTCCTCTTCGGTCCAAAATTATGCACGGTTCCCTCGAAAGGGTTTGCACCGCTACCCTAAGGGAAGGTAGCACTCAGCTCTGCCCTGGCGATCCCGCCGTGAGAAGCCCTGGTGTGCGGGCGCCTGGGAGAGGCACCCCCCGCTTACCTCCCGCACACCTGCTAACCCGGGCAGGATGCCGGAGAGGATGCTGGAAAGGATGCTGGCCCGCCGCGCCCGCTCTGGTCCCCGCTCCTGCCTCTCTCGGTAAACTACAGTCCAGGCAGCACCTCGGGCTTCTCCGGAGACTCAAGCTCCGCCTCCCCGCCTCCAGTTGGCCGAGGTGCAGGCTGTGGCTCCTCCCCTAGCTGTGCCCACCGCCGCCGCCCGGCTGTAGGAGGCGGGAAGAGGCGCCGGAGTAAGATCCTTCCCTCCGTGAGCTCCAGCCGCCCCGCCTCTCGGCTGCCCCTGGTATCGCACCTGAAGTGCCGCAGGCCAAGCTCAGCCCTCCCGGTGCGCTGGCCCGGTGCACACCGCCTGCGCTGCCCGGAAGAGTGCTGCAGTTTCAGCCCGGGCGGATCCCACACTTCGCCCTCCCTCCACCCACCAGTCCCCTGAGGATTCACTCCAGCTGAGCTAAAGACTCAGCTCCACAGCCCCGGGAAGCCCACCTCGGCCCCGCCCTCTTCCTGCCTTCGCTCCGGTAGCCCCGCCCCTCGGTGGGCGCGGCGCGTGCGAGTCTGTCCCGCGTTCTGATTGGTGCAGGTGAGAGCCAGCCCCGCCCTTCCTCCGCTTCCTGTGCGCTCTCTCTATCTTCATCTCTCCTCCTCCCGCAAAGGCAGGGAACTCTCTTCCTATTGGCTAGAAGTGTCCCCACCTATAGCCTTAGGCTACCTCGCATGGCCTCGTGGGAAATGTAGTCTCTTACTGACAGGAAATACTAACAGGAGTAGCGGGCGGAACTACGAATCCCCATCGGGCTTTGCGCGACTCCGGCTGGGCAGGATTCCGGACAACGCCTGGTTCCTCTCGGGTCCTTCCGGCGTCGCCGGAGTGAATTGATCCGGGAGTTGAAGAGGGCTCCGAAGGTGGGAAGTGAAGTCCGTACCTCAGTTGCCGGTAAGGTGAGGTTTCTCGGTTCCGGTCCGCGCCTCTCCCCGAGGAGCCAGCGGGGCCTGCGGGCCGGCGGGGGCCGAGGCGGAGGCTCTGGATTGGGCTCGGCCAGCGGAGCGGACGGGCTGCGAGCGGGGCCCTCTGGGCGTCAGCGAGCTTCCCCTACGCGAGTGGCGTAAGGCGGGTTTGTAAATGCCGCCGGCCCGGCCGCCTCCAGGAAGTCTGCTGCGGGTGGGGGCGGAGGGGAAGGGTGAGGTCGGCCTCCCGGGTCCCCGCCAGCCCGAGGGGGCGGATGTGCCTGGGGTGGGGGTCCCCTAAAGGTGTGGCTGGAGCCGGGCCGTGTCTGGAGGGAACGAGAGGTGCCCGGGAGTCGGCCCCCTGGTGACTCGGTTGTGGCCTTTGAGGCAGGAGGAAGAGCCAGTGTTGACAGATCAGAGCCAGGTCCAGTTTTCTGGTGTGGCCCCTCAAACGGAGGTGATTTTTTTCTTAAGTGGGAAGATTTGACCCTTGTAGCCATGCTACGTCAGGTAGGTTTACTTCTGAACTGAACTCAGAGGACTTTGACTTTGGGATGCTGGTGAGGAAACCGAAGGAATGATGACGTGCCCAAGGTCACACACGGAGGGACAGATCTACAGACTCTGGTCCACGGAAAGTCCAGCGCTAGCTCCGGAGAAAGAAAAAAGTGGGAAGGTGGGCGGCAGTGCTGGGAAAAGATGAAGTTGCAGAGATTTCTAAGAAACCTTTGTGAGGTGAAGGGTCACTTTGAAGTGGAGTGAAATTCTTCACCAAAGGATCCTCCCAAACCTTTGGAAAAACAGTAAAGGTCAGTTTTAGCTTAGTTACCCCTTTTTTCCGGAGTTTACTGGATGATTGCACCCAACTTCTACAGACTTTTTAAAAGGTAGCTAACGTTTAACAGTATAGCTTACCGTAGCAGTTAAAAGAATCTTCCTTTCTACTTTGCTGTCATTTGGTATGGTCGGAACTCATTCGGAAAGCTTATTTTACACATAGTTATGTTCCCAACAATGTAGCAGTGTAGAGAGGTTGTCCTGGTCTTTGCTAAAAGTGACTTTTGTCGGGGTTGTGTGTATGTGTAAGTCAGAAAAGCAGGCTGTTGTGGCTAACTTGCTTCACACTCTGTGACTTTTAGTTCATCCTTACTTTATGTTAAACCATGAAAAACTGATGCTTTTATATGGACCAGAATGCAGTGCATTGTCCCAGACAAGTGATTAATTATGGTTGATATTATTGGATAGTTTTTTAGCAGAATTGTAGGAGTATGTTTATTGAAGGCAAGAGTTCTTCATAAAATTGTATCCACCAACATATAAACTTATAGTTAGCAGGTTTATTACATAAATGCATAAAGTATACTGTAAATAAATAAAAGATACTGTATTTTGAATGCACTGTGACTGCCATGGTCAGTGTCATTAACAGTTTGTTTAATTTTTAAATGAAAACTGTTTTCTGGTATCAGAGGCGGCTTTTTTTTTAATTGTTCTAGTTAACATGGCTTGTTTGATTACGACTTTGAAAGTAAGAGGCGAGGTATAATACTACAAAAGTCACACCATGCAGACGGTAGTGCAAAATAAGGAAGAAGCAGCTGAATAGAAAGAAGGTGTGGGGTTAATTGGCTTTGCAGTGGATTAACACCATGCAGCAGTCTGAGTAGGCCGTGCACTGGATATGTCCAGTGATGATAAGCAAGACTGTTAATATATTTGCTAGATGACTGTAGGTATTTGCTGTCTCCTGGGGAAGGTATGAAGTGAGTTCTTTAGCACATAGCTGCATGGCTGTCGAGAGCCTTTATAACAAAGAGGAAAAGTCAGAAATAAAGTAATATGAAGTACCTGAAATGTATAGTTTTTGTATTCAGTCCTACCAGTAAATATCCCTGTATCTCTGAGGTTCATTATAATTTGGTAGTTCATATAGATGGAGAATGTTACTGTTGTGTTTAAAATCTTTAGTCACCCACTACAATTCACAGAATGTTGTGGACACTTGCATTTTATTGTAGTTTTTAGCTCATCAGTTTTCACATTTGTTCTCTTAAGGAGCTTTATGTCAGCTTGGAGCATCCCCTTAGATAGGACACAGGTTGTCTTTCCTATTTGGCTGGTTCTCTTGGATATGTACAGTGTATAAGAACAAGGACTGTATATTTATTATCTCTTACTAGGTAGAATATAGAGTGATTACAGAGAATAGAAAAGGTTTAGGTTGGTTAAGTGACTTGCCCAAAGTCATATGACCTGTAACTGGTGGGATGGACCAGGTCATGATCTAGGCCTTTTGACTACAGATCTTTACTGTTGTGACAAAAACTTAAATTATTTATATAAGAAAAAGAGTGACTGTACCTTAACTATTTCAGTGTCAATACCCTCTCACACTCTTTTATGCTGCCAACTTGTTTTCTGTGTCCTGGGCACTCCAGTGTCACCCCCAGCTTTTGCATTTCTCATATTACGATGTAAATTTCTTCCTAACTTGGGGACCTTTATATACTACTCCCTACCCTGATTATTTCCTCACTCCGTTCCCAGTCTGGCCATTTCCTTCAAGGCCTCAGGGTTGCTCTCTCTCCCTGACAGAGTTCCCACTCTATCTTCACTGCTCTGTGTTCTGTTCACCGTTGTCACAAAAGGAATTACTGTTTCTTTACTGACTTAGTAAGTTTTCACCTCATGAAAAGTTGGCGAGCAAGGTCTTCTCACCTGTGGTGTGTCTTATCCTATTATACTGTTTGTCACAAAGTAAGTGTTCAGTAAATATTTGCAGAATGAATGAGTAAATGAATAAGTATACTCAGGGACAGGAATGGATGAAACGTCTCCCTGAGTCACAACAGTTGAAGGATACAGGGATGCTCAGATGAACTAAAGCTGAGGAAATTTAGGTCAATACAAAGGAAATATTGCCAGAAGTTTAAAGTAAATTGTAGAAAGATACTCTTTCTTAGAGATCTCTAAAATCCAGATAAGTTGTTTTCTTTGTGAAAATATAAAGGAAGTATTTTCTCTTACAGCAAAATTTCTGTGTAACTCAGCGTTTTGGAGAGCTCGCCACTGCCTGCTGTTCACAGTATAGACATGGAAGCAGCTTTTGATGGACTGTCTGTTCTCCTCTGAGGTTTTCTCATTTTTTTACCTTAGAACAATTATTTCATTTAGGTAGTCTTAACACTGGCTTTATTATGACTAAGGACACTGAAGATATAAGTAAATATATTCATTAGACTCTGGGAAATGTAATTAAAGTGCTAGGGCCTGGGGAGAAGCTACAACAGCCAAGGTTTGAGTCTGGATATGTCTCCATGCCTGTTTTTCTTTGTTTCTGTTTTTTAACCATGATTTCATACAACTTTCTTCAGATGTGGTGATTTGAGGAAATTGAGTTCTTTTATCAGAGGAATTTAAATTTTGGACTTCTGGAAAATTATAATTTGGGAGATTTAAGGTAATCTCTCACTTGCTTTACACAGACATTTAAAATGTTTTGAAAACATGCAAACAAACTTTTAGAGAGAAAATGTTAGATTTTTGACTGAAATACAAGTTTGGTAAGTTTGGTAACCTTTCACAGTACCAAACAAATTCAATAAAATACATTTAACAGCTCTGAGTTATAAACTTGTATTCGTTGATATATTTACAGACACAGTATCGTGATATTATCCAAAGTGATTGCTGATATTTAGATTCAAATTTTGATAATGCTCCAATCTTTATTACAAAATATAATTATTTTCCAAAGTCTAAACCTTTTTTTATAAAAGTTAGTCCTAATGTTAAAACCATGTTTATATGTTGTTAGACTGTTAAAGTTGTATGTATTGTTGCTAAGAATTCGAAGCCAATTCTATTGATTCTTTTATGTAATGTTTAAAAGACAGTATGATTTTATACATCAGTTGCAGGTTTAGGGTAATAGGATGTATGTAAAAATGAAAGCACTTCTGTTGCAGCAATTAGAATTTATTTGCTGAAATCTAGTTTGTTCATTTTATATGGACAATAGGAATTTCATTTAACCTACAAAATACACCTTGGCTGTATTATAATATTAGACCTGTTTTTCAAGTCCACTTTATCATTTGGGTATGGGAATCCATTTTTTCTTAACTATGTAAAAGTGATTTAACTTATAGAAAAGTGATTGGAGCTTAATTTCATTCCTCTGTAGTTGCCTAGAATTGAGTACCTGTAGGGTGCTGAGGGGGAGCAAAAAAGGATTTTGTTAGCATGCTTTTGAATTATGGGATAGCAGCACTGGAAAATAAGTTACTACACTTCATTCAGTTAGGGCAGTCTCTTGGGAGTCAGTTTATCAGAGGTAAGTTTAAATTGCATAGTATGTTTTGTGTGTGAAATTGGCTTGTCTACTTTGGAATGAGCTAGAATCTAATATATAACTATTGTTTGTTGAGAGTGCCAGGCCTCATGCCAAGCATTTTACATGTCCTCCTATAGTTCTTACAGTTCCCAGAGGGAAAGACTGTATTATCTCCAGTTCCTAAATGAGGAAACTGAAGTGCAGAGAACTTAAGGAACTTGCCCAATATCTGAGGACCCATATTTGCTCAGAGTTGGGATTTTAGTCCACGCTGACTGGCTAAAGATGCTAAGAGTTTTACGAAATCTTTACAGTAAAATGATGTTCGTGATTAAAGGCCAAGGTGTGTTAGAGTTGCAGTTTCAGAGTAATTGTGCCTTAAATGTTAAGGTCATCGGGGCAGGCAGATGTTATTTAAGAATCAAATGTATGTTTTTACAGCGTATTGGGAATTTCGTGCAGCAGAGACGGACAGACTACTTCTACACATCCAGTTTTTCTCTATCAGGAAATAGATCATTTGAGTGCTGTCCGAAATAGTGTGATTTGCTATTCAGATACTATTGGAATAAAAATACATACATACATATATATATATATATATATATGTGTGTGTGTGTGTGTGTGTGTGTGTATGTATATATATATATAAAAGCTCATATACCATGTATCACAAAACAAGAATTAAAATCAGTGTTGCAGTCATTCAGACTTGAGTCTCTGACTGTCCCAAATTTCAAAGGGGAGTGGCAAGGAGTTTTCATCGTCTCTAATTCTGGGACATAAGGACATGGAGAATTATGATCATGTACGTATTTCAGCAGCTTTCTATAAAAAAAAGCTGAGTGCTTCCAGGGAGCTTTGCTAGTGTGGATGCACGTTAGGTGTTGTCAGTGTTGCAGTCATTCAGACTTGAGTCTCTGACTGTCCCAAATTTCAAAGGGGAGTGGCAAGGAGTTTTCATCGTCTCTAATTCTGGGACATAAGGACATGGAGAATTATGATCATGTACGTATTTCAGCAGCTTTCTATAAAAAAAAGCTGAGTGCTTCCAGGGAGCTTTGCTAGTGTGGATGCACGTTAGGTGTTGTGCCCTCTGGTTGCTCCCTCCTTGCTGACTCTGCCGCATCCTGCTCACTTTCAAGGGCTTGGACTACTTCAGTACATTGTCAGCTAACACTGTTGCTGACTTAGACTGCAGAGGTTTGTGATAGGTACCAGGAAATGGAAAAATAGATAAACTTCCTTTTAGAAAGACCATGTCTTTGGTACTCAGACTTAATATAAAGTCCTTCCACCTGTATAGATTCATTTGTTAATTTGGGGCCATAGCTGATATAGAGGGGCAAAATATAAAGGTTTCTCTAACTTACTATCTGGTTTCTGTCATTGAACTGTCTCTCCTCCATCCTATTCAGCCATCCTGTCTTAATTCAGGATGGTCTGGAATCCAGCTGAGGTTGGATTGAACGAGTGGCAAAACCCTAAAATGTTACTACTGTCTTCTGCTTACATAAGGCTATACAACAAAAGCCACGAAAATGTGAAATGAGTCAGACCTGGCCTCTGTGCGGCAACTGCTCTCTATAACACTTCAGATTGGTGCAAGGCTCTCTTAATTAAAGGATTCCGAATACTGCTGTGCCTTTTATTCGGAAGTACGTGTGCTTTGAGGGATCCCTTTATCCTTATTAACACTGGCATTTTGATTGTATTGTGGAATTTGAGAGATTCTTGAGGTTCTACCTTAACCTGGGGCTCTTAAAAGTGGTTAAGTGTTAGGAAACGAAGGTTACAGAGGAACTGTAACTAGCATGTAAGATGACATTCCAGTTGCCTTCTTGTGAATAAGAAAAGAGCATTTGTATTAAAGAGATCAGTTGGGAGCGAAAGGTGAAGTTTAATGGCATCATTGAGAGGGAACCGTGCCCTCATTAGCACCTAGTGTTAAACAAGCTGAGCCTGGGGCAGTTTGTTATTTGGTGCTACAGATTTTATCAACATTTAGAATACCTTGTTTTTGTAGCAAAGCAATCATATAAAGAAAAAGGTGTATTGGTTGGATAGTGTAGAGAACCTTACCCAATTTGGAGTCACTAAACAAAAGAGCAGACATCTGAGATGAATTGATACAGAGCAAGTAGATAAGACCCATGGTTGTACAGTCCATGAAGTGCACTTGTACATTTAGAGAACAAAAGTGTATTCTGAGAGCTTGTGTATTTGAATTTCTAAGGAATTTTAAAGGAAAAGTCTTAACACAAGATCACAGCTGCTACTCAAGGAAAACAGAAAGCCATGTTCTTCAATTAAGCACTAAGTGACTCTTCAGGTAGGCACTTAAGTTAGGAGCCACTGACTACCTGGAGAGCTTGATGACCGAAACAGGAGCATGTTCAAGAGTGCGCGTTAATTTGTTTAGATTGAGGTTCAACAAAAAAAAAATTAGTCAGTAGAATATGAAAAAAGTAAGAAAAATGTGTTTTTCCTTGAACCAGTGGTTTTCAAATACTTAGAAGCTATTTGCTATTTTTATTATTATTCCCATTTCTCATCAGCCAGTTGAGATTTTTGATAATGTTGTCAGTTTTTGATCACCTTGTATGGGCTTTTGCCCAATGAATCATCTCCAGCAGGTCTTTGATGACGTCTCGATTTTACTGTGTTACCACCCAATCTGCTTCTAGGCCACAGGTTCCCTTTATTAAGTTGAACTGTGTATATTAAAATAAAAGTACTTTTAACACTCTTGCTGTGAACAGTTGCAAAGTTCATTTGATGACCAAATTATTTTTGTATCCCCAAACTGAGAGTAGTTTCCGTCAAGTGACATAAATTTTGGTGGCCAAAGTAATTGTTGCTTCCTTTTTGGCAAATGGGACAAAAAGGTTTTGAAGATGTGCTTGTGTACCTCATAACATTGTAATTATCAGCATCAGATTGTCACTGTGTTGGGTAGGGGCTGAGGGAGACAAGGAGGGCATCCATCCAGGCTGTAGAGGTAAAGGAAGCAGTAAGTAGCTCACCATTTCCTGCGAGTCAGAGTTGGCGCTCTAGGCGTCTAGCTTGTCTCACCCTTTCAACCTGATTGATGCCATGTCAGGTTCATAGATCTTTGATAGAATGTCTCTAACAGTATAAGTTGGATGCTTATTGAATGTCATCTACTACATTAGGTCTTTAAATGTACTTAGTACTCTTAACAACCCTGTAAGCAAGCACTTCATTTCGTATATGCATTAATTTTTCACTGAGTTGTAAAAGGTACTAAATTTAAGTAGTATCACACAGCTGAGCAAAAACTCAAACTCAGATCTTTGTTTCAGATCTAAGCATTTATCTCCTGCTATACACGGAGTAAAATGAATTACTTCTTACCACTTTATATATTCCTATGTTAAGAGATAGTACTCCCTCAAAATATTAAAGTTTGTGCATTGAACTTGATGTTCTTGACTTTAAGATAAATCTGAGGTTTCAGTACCAAATTATAAATCTCCAGAGCTGAATCCTGACTTAGCTACATTCCCACTTGCTTTGGTCTTCAGACAGGTTACATGGAGTTTGGGACTCTTGGTTTTGTGTTGAGCCATGGGGCCGCACAAAGAGCAAGGCACCTATCGTGTCCAATACAACAAACAAGCCTTAGAATTTGATTCATACATTTGGCTAAAATAGCGGCCATGTATCACTCTGGCTTTTCATTTCTAAATTGTCAAAGTTGGAGACTGGGCTTGATAGCTATATTGGCTGATTTTCACTTTAAATAAAAAAAATTATTTTTATTTTTTATGTGTATGAGTGTTGCCTGCATGTATGGAAGTGCACCCGTGTCATGCAGTGCCCATGGAAGTCAGAATAGGGCATTGGATCTCCTGGAACTGGAGTTACTGATGGTTGTTAGCCACCATGTGGGTGCTAGGAATTGAACCCAGGTCCTCTGTACGAGCAGCCAGCCAGTTGCTGAGCCGTCTCTCCAGCCCTCATTTTAAAATTTTAGGAGTTTAGCATTTAATGGTCTTGAATGCATTAACAGCTGTAACAAGGAAACTGGCTATAGGTTGAAATCTGGAACTGAGTTACGGAAAAGTTAGGTCTAGATATCCTCTGTTCCCTTCACCTTA